CCGCCCTGCCCCCCCCCAGTTCCCCCTTCTTTCCACCTCCCCTCCCCCTCCCCCTCACCCTCCGCGGCTGGGCCGGGCCCCTCCCCGTGTGCCTCTGGCAGCCCCTGTGGAGGGTGCCAAGGGCGGGGCTGGGGGGCTCCCCTCCGCTCCCCCTTGGGCACCATGTGCACCGCTGTTTTGTGCCCCCCAGACCGGACTGGGGCAGGGTTGGGGGGCTAGCCTTGGCCTTGCCAACAGCAGGGCAGCGTGGCACAGCTGCCGGACCCCACAGGCAGCACCAGTGGGCACCGGCTGGCTTGCCAGGCTGAAACCCCCGTGGGCCCCAGAACCACACGGTCCTCCAAGGAGACATGGCAGCGGATCTGGCAGCAGGATCAGTTCCTCTCCTTGAGAGCAGCAGAAAGAGGCAGGCAGATGGGATAGCTGGGGTGGGGTTGGACATGGTGCCTGGCTCTGTCTGAGCTGCAGGGAGTGGATGTCTGTGCCTCTATTTGGACCTCTTGCCTAATGCAGCTTGCCCTGTTGGCCTTGGGGAGCTGGCAGGTGTATGCTCATCCCAGCACCCCCACTGCAGGGGGCAGGGGAGGTGGCCAACATGGAGCATAGGCAGTGTCATTGCATCAGAGCACTTAAATCGCTGAAACTTGGGGCTCATGACAGTTTCTCTTGGTTGGATGAGCCCACTGTTTTTGCTCGGGGTCTGGTTTCTCTCCATCTCATGTAAATCTTTTGTCTTTTACTAAAGACTTCCATAGAGAGAAGCATTGACAAGTTGGCAGCCAATTTTTGGTTGAACTGTAGTGGTGCTGGAGGATATGTCCTGGGTGTTTAAGGTGCTCTGTTCCTTTTGCTTGCAGGAATGTGCAAAGTTGTCAGTAGTCGAGGTGAATGTGAGAGTTAGTGCCAAAATGATTCATTTTCATTCCACCTCAATGTTTTGATGTTGGCCGCATGAGGGTACATGCTTGCTCCAGGTGTGTTTGTTCAAGATGTAGTTGTTGGAGTCCTGAAATCTGAAGTGCTGTCTACACAACGTGTTCCTCTGCCAGTGCGCCTGCTACGTACATGTAAGCCCTGGGCATAGATGTGATGCCTGGGGCAAAAGCAGGTCTTGAGGCTGTGTCACTTAACATGGTTAGAAACACAAATAAGCTGCATAGATGTCAGCCTTTTTATTATGCCATGTGGAACTTGACCTGATATATCTACCATAGTATAAATATCCAGCAAATCCTCAAGCTCATGCAGCAAAAGTGGTGGATAGCAATGATGACGTGTGTGGAGTGTTTTCTCAAACCTGCCTTCTCTGACACCCAATGACTAAGAATTTTCTGTTTAAATATTACAGGTCTTTTTCTTGTCTTAAAACTGCATAAAAATGCCCCTTTTCTACATTTACTTTCTTAGTTGGTTTATTTACCCATTCCGATTTTTCTAATTCTCTGAACAATATCTCCTTTTCACTTGGCTCTTCTCACAGCTAACTTCTGTGCACCTTTCTATCCTAGCACTGAAGACTTCAGATTAGGTCCTTGTATTTAATCAAGGCCCTCCTCCACAGAACAATGTGCCCCTCTATTATAACATTTCTGCAATGTTCATTTTTATATCCACGGCTGTGTTCCTGCTCCTTCCTCTAAGGCAAGACAGCAGTGGTAGTAGTAACTGCATAGAAAAGATGCTTTAGATTTTGAACTGCCTCGGGGAAACTGTTTTTACATTCACTTGGAAAGTGTAGAATAACTGGGTTGTAAGTTAATGGTTGGTGGTACAAGTTAATGTCAACTAAAGATAATATTCTTGTTGATCCTTGTGCAATCAAGCTACACAATTCAAGGAATGCATATACAACCTTCTTTATAGCTGGAACTTGTTAGAAAGATGCTTTGTATTCTTCCAAAAGGAAGATTTTATTGTTTTGAGGTGTTCCACCTTGCACTGGAAATTTCTGTTCAAGAGAGTAGCTGAAGTAACAATTGTGACAAATGCTTCTGTTGTATAGTATGTATCAGATGTTTTTTCCAAAGATGATTGTACTTTGTGATTTTAACAGGGTAAAAAAGATCACTCTGGTCTGTGTACAGCCTGCCTAAAATCCACACAGAGATTGGCTCATTAAATGTGCACCAGTTTGTACTTGCTTACAGCTAAGATGTTATGGGGAGAGTGGTGTTCAAAATCTCTTAGCCTATCATTTAGAATAGACCTGGGGAGTTTGGGGGAAAATTAAACAAGGCTTCTTTGGAGGTGTGATTGAAGCAAAGGGGATCAAAGGTTGAACAGCAAGTAATAGTTTTGCACTAATTCTCTGGCATGGTGATACTGCTTTTTCTGAGCAGATTTCAGCCATTTCAGCTGCCTTTTGGTCACTTACTAGAATGAAAGCTGAATGAAATGTTTTATACCGACTTCTAGATACTAGTTTGGCAATATACTCTACTGTTGGAGCCCCAGTAAAGTTTCTGAAGCTCTGCAGGGGTGGGTATTCAGGAAGAAGCGGGGACTTGGAGGTAGGAAAGAAAACAATCAGGCACTTGCTGCTGAAAGGATAACTGGGCTTCTGGTGAGAATGTACCCACAAATTTAAAGGAAGCGTAAAACATTAGGAAAATCTATTCAAGAAAGAGCGTGTGTGCAGCTTGTTCTTGCTAATTTCTCTTAATCTGATGTTCTTCGTTCAAGTTCCCACACAGTTTTTAAAGGTAAAAATGTAAAAATAAATTAACCATACTTTAGTAGTAATAAGGCATCCAGCATGGGTATGAAACAATTATTGTTTTTCTTGCAAAGTTGAAAGGCCTTTTGCCATTTGGTGTATCCAGGGTTTTGGACAGTAGCTGTGGTGTGACTTATTGCAGTATTTCTCCTGTGTCTGTTAGTTTTGTATTGTAGCAAATAGACCTACTGTCCTGTGTATTTTTACCTGTTTTCCTTCCAGTTACCAAATTAGAAGAATACAAGGCAGTGCAGACTCATCCAGCTAAGGAGAACTTACTGATATTTAGTAATCTTATAAATTCCTAATATTTCCAGGTGTTTTATCTATTTGGTTGCAAACCAAAATCTGGTGCTGCTTTCAGTTTTATTGTTTATTGTGAGAACTTCACTGTCAGAAGAGATCTTATATCACTAAATCTAGACCAGGGATTCTTCTGTCTTCCTAGATTCAAGGCACCCTTCCATAACATTTCTGAATTGAGTGGCATTCCATTTAAAAAACTATTGTATTTATTCCAGTGCTTGTCTCCTGAAAGAGGGGCCAGGAAGTGGGAGTGTGGCAGTGGCCAGGCAGGGAAGAGGCTGAGCCTGGATTTACCAGTTTATCTCCGTTTAGCCTGGGTCACCCTTCAAAGGATCTTTGGGGGGCTGTGGTTGAGAATCCCTGATATAAACTCTCATATACTAAAAGCAGGAAGCACGTGACCAGCTCTGTGAAATAACCATTTTTAACACTTAAATAGCGAGCACCTTTTATCTGTGTGTTTGAAAGAGTTTTACCAGTTATTTATATGTAGGGCTTGAGCCCATTCATGTGTTTGTTTCCAGCTACTTGCTTTTATATTGTTTTTGGTGGCAGTTGTTCTTTGGAGGGTCCTACTTGAGTCAAAAGACTGTAAGCTATGGTCTAGTCTACATCACAGAGTTTTGCTGAAAGACCTCTCCTTTAGCTGGCAGAAGTATAGTTGCATCCACACCCAAAGCTGCTTTGCAGCAAGAACCCTCCAGTCTCCACGGAGCAGTGTAAGGCTTCTGCTGTCAAATGGCAGAAGGCACATGTTGACTCATGCCCATTCTGCTGGCTACCATGATCCTTTCAGCACCTGGTGCCATCCTAGGCTGTGGCTTTTATTGCGGTAGTACAGCAGCTGAGTTGAGTGATATGGAGCTGCTAAAAGCGCGTGTGGCAGCTGCTGTATAATGCCAGTTAAGTGAATATAGAGACTTTTGGCTCTGGGGAGATGTTACGGTTAGGGTAGCTCCTCACAGCAGTGGTTCTCAGATGTGATCTGCAGATTACACTGATCCTCATGTGCCTTTAGAATCATTTCAGTGTAGAAATTTGATAAGGATGTCTAGTAGTCTGTGAGAAATCTTAAAAGTTGATGGTTAGCCCATTAGTTGGAGAATCACTGCTATGAAGCCTTTCTTAAGAGCATTTCTGGGGTGTGCCATGATAAAAGGAAGTACTGGCAGAATTAAAGATTGCTTTCAGAACAACTAATAGTTGGCAAGGTATTTTCCTTCTTATGAACTTCTGCAGTCAAGTCACTGAGTTGGGGCAAAAACTATTTGCTTGACTATCTTGAGAGAACATTTTCAGTGTGATCAGATGTATTACTTCTGAATACGTAGTAATATTTTGATGTTACTCAGTGCTGATGTTCCTTGCTTTTTTTTAAGTCGCTTAGTGTTTATAAGTTGAAGTACGTTGTTGTTATTGCTAAGAAATGCGTGGAAAACGCTAATCAAGTCACTTAATAAAAGAAATCCAGAACTCTTACAGTATGTATGTGATAGCCTTACAAGCAGCTATATAAGTCCTAAATATCAAGTATTGCATTTAAATACCAGTCCAACATAGCTACGTAAAGATACCAGATCTTATTTTAAATGTCGCACGAAACTTGTTGAAAAATCGTAGTAGATGCTACTGATCTTAAATAGTAAAGGAGTGTTGTGAGGACTAAGCAGTATCTCTTGTTCTATTACTGAGGTAAGGCATTGTTTTACAGTAAGCGAAGGTAGGGCACCATTAGTAGGACAAGTTTGTTTGTTTTGTTTGTTTGTTTGTTTTTGTTTTTCAAGGATGTCAGTGCTTCTGTTACAGTTTGCCATTTTCAATATATAGTTTGGCCATGAAAACTTACTTGCTGAAGTTCTGCAAGCCATGTGTTAGTGAAGGAAAGTTTTTGTTTTGTGTTGTTTTTTTGAAGTAATTTGTTAAATTTTAAGATACTTTTAGGGGAGGAAAAAAAACCTGTGCTACCTTTAGGATTTTTCCTAAGGTAGGAATAACAAATTGTGCTAGCTTTAGGATTTTTCATGGAAAACAAAATGTAAACCCAAAGAACAAAATGACCAAGATGTAGCATGGGTTAACTGTTGCTTTCATCTGTTTTGGTTTGTCTCAGTTTCGTAAGAGAGAGAGATGCAAAAACATAAAATGAAGGGAGACAAATGGTTCTGAACTCTTTAACTGTTTTTATTTTGTTAAATAATCTCTACCTTTACATTACTGTGCCTAGTCAAAAAAAAGAAGAAAGAAATTAGTGCAGTTCAACATAATCGGGGTAAAAGGTTATGTTAACCATTGGTATTTATTTAATACTTTTTAGGGGCCATTCTGGAACCCATACTTTAAAATAATTTCAAAATTGTGCATCGCAATTTAGACAAACACTTCTCTAGTAATAGTACCACTCAATCATTCTGCAGTGCTCTGAAGTTTTTTCTCCTTTACCCAATAAAAATATATTTGGGTCATTTTGCAAAGCATTCATTAGAGCCATTTTGTATAGCAAAGGAACAACAGATGTTGCAAAAACAACCAAAATTAGCCAGGTAAATAAGGATTTACTTTTTGAAGGCCAGGTTCTTGTCCTGTTCTAATTGTGGATCTCATACAAATCAATTTTATGACTAGGGTTTTTGGTTGTAGCAGTGTTGGTCTAAGGACATAGTCAGGCAAGGTTTTTTTGGTTAGATGTGATATCTTTTATTAGACCAACAGAGTAGTTGGGGGAAAAAGTTCTTAGCAAGCTCTTGGGTGCAGTCACCCTTCTTCAGGCATAGGGAGACAGCAGAGAG